GTTGGTTGGTGGTTGGATGACGGTTGGATGGTGGTTGGATGGTGGTTGGATGACGGTTGGATGGTGGTTGGATGACGGTTGGATGGTGGTTGGATGGTGGTTGGATGACCGTTGGATGACGGTTGGATGACGGTTGGATGGTGGTTGGATGACGGTTGGATGGTGGTTGGATGGTGGTTGGATGACCGTTGGATGACGGTTGGATGACGGTTGGATGGTGGTTGGATGATGGTTGGATGATGGTTGGATGGTGGTTGGATGGTGGTTGGATGATGGTTGGATGACGGTTGGATGATGGTTGGATGGTGGTTGGATGACTGTTGGATGACGGTTGGATGATGGTGGATGGTGGTTGGATGATGGTTGGATGATGGTTGGATGATGGTTGGATGGTGGTTGGATGGTGGTTGGATGACCGTTGGATGACGGTTGGATGGTGGTTGGATGGTGGTTGGATGACGGTTGATGATGGTTGGATGGTGGTTGGATGACCGTTGGATGACGGTTGGATGATGGTTGGATGGTGGTTGGATGATGGTTGGATGGTGGTTGGATGACCGTTGGATGACGGTTGGATGATGGTTGGATGGTGGTTGGATGACCGTTGGATGACGGTTGGATGATGGTTGGATGGTGGTTGGATGACCGTTGGATGACGGTTGGATGATGGTTGGATGGTGGTTGGATGACCGTTGGATGACGGTTGGATGATGGTTGGATGGTGGTTGGATGACGGTTGGATGATGGTGGATGGTGGTTGGATGACCGTTGGATGGTGGTTGGATGACCGTTGGATGACGGTTGGATGATGGTTGGATGACCGTTGGATGGTGGTTGGATGATGGTTGGATGGTGGTTGGATGACCGTTGGATGGTGGTTGGATGATGGTTGGATGGTGGTTGGATGACCGTTGGATGACGGTTGGATGATGGTTGGATGGTGGTTGTATGGTGGTTGGTGATGGTTGGATGGTGGTTGGATGATGGTTGGATGGTGGTTGGATGGTGGTTGGATGATGGTTGGATGGTGGTTGGATGACCGTTGGATGGTGGTTGGATGATGGTTGGATGACGGTTGGATGGTGGTTGGATGATGGTTGGATGATGGTTGGATGACGGTTGGATGGTGGTTGGATGACGGTTGGATGATGGTTGGATGATGGTTGGATGGTGGTTGGATGATGGTTGGATGGTGGTTGGATGGTGGTTGGATGACTGTTGGATGACCGTTGGATGACGGTTGGATGATGGTTGGATGGTGGTTGGATGACGGTTGGATGATGGTTGGATGGTGGTTGGATGACCATTGGATGACGGTTGGATGATGGTTGGATGGTGGTTGGATGACCGTTGGATGACGGTTGGATGACCGTTGGATGACGGTTGGAAGATGGTTGGATGGTGGTTGGATGACCGTTGGATGATGGTTGGATGGTGGTTGGATGACCGTTGGATGACGGTTGGATGATGGTTGGATGGTGGTTGGATGACCGTTGGATGACGGTTGGATGACGGTTGGATGACGGTTGGATGATTGTTGGAAGGTGGTTGGATGACCGTTGGATGACGGTTGGATGATGGTTGGATGGTTGTTGGATGATGGTTGGATGGTGGTTGGATGATGGTTGGATGGTGGTTGGATGACTGTTGAATGATGGTTGGATGGTGGTTGGATGACCGTTGGATGACGGTTGGATGATGGTTGGATGGTGGTTGGATGACCGTTGGATGATGGTTTGGATGGTGGTTGGATGACCGTTGGATGATGGTTGGATGATGGTTGGATGGTTGTTGGATGATGGTTGGATGGTGGTTGGATGATGGTTGGATGGTGGTTGGATGGTGTTGGATGACTGTTGGATGATGGTTGGATGGTGGTTGGATGACCGTTGGATGACGGTTGGATGATGGTTGGATGGTGGTTGGATGACCGTTGGATGACGGTTGGATGACGGTTGGATGACGGTTGGATGATGGTTGGATGGTGGTTGGATGACCGTTGGATGACGGTTGGATGATGGTTGGATGGTGGTTGGATGATGGTTGGATGGTGGTTGGATGACCGTTGGATGACGGTTGGAAGATGGTTGGATGGTGGTTGGTTGACCGTTGGATGATGGTTGGATGGTGGTTGGATGACCGTTGGATGACGGTTGGATGATGGTTGGATGGTGGTTGGATGACCGTTGGATGACCGTTGGATGACGGTTGGATGACGGTTGGATGATGGTTGGATGGTGGTTGGATGACCGTTGGATGACGGTTGGATGATGGTTGGATGGTGGTTGGATGATGGTTGGATTATGGTTGGATGGTGGTTGGATGATGGTTGGATGGTGGTTGGATGGTGGTTGGATGACTGTTGGATGATGGTTGGATGGTGGTTGGATGACCATTGGATGACAGTTGGATGATGGTTGGATGGTGGTTGGATGACCATTGGATGACGGTTGGATGACGGTTGGATGACGGTTGGATGGTGGTTGGATGGTGGTTGGATGACCATTGGATGACGGTTGGATGACGGTTGGATGACGGTTGGATGGTGGTTGGATGGTGGTTGGATGACCGTTGGATGACGGTTGGATGATGGTTGGATGGTGGTTGAATGACCTTTCGATGACGGTTGGATGACCGTTGGATGACGGTTGGATGATGGTTGGATGGTGGTTGGATGACCGTTGGATGACGGTTGGATGATGGTTGGATGGTGGTTGGATGATGGTTGGATGATGGTTGGATGGTGGTTGGATGACCGTTGGATGGTGGTTGGATGACCGTTGGATGACGGTTGGATGATGGTTGGATGGTGTGTCTGTGTTCCAGGCAGTGCGGTCCAGTCGGCTGTCGGTGCGGCCGCTCGTCGCCCCCTGCAGGTCGCTGCTGCTCATGCTTTCAGCCGCTGGTTGACCTGCTTGAGGCAGAGCCTCCACCTGAACCAGCTGCTCTGCTTCCCTCTGCCAGAGCCGTCCTGCTGCAGTCAAACGCCCGGCTGACCTTCTGATAGGCCGTATCCTAGCTGACCCCTGACCCCTGACCCTGCCTTCAGGCTGTACTGCGGTCCATGGCTCCACCAGGTGCATAACCAGCTGCTGACCGATGCCAATGCTTTCAGAGAGAGGAGGGAGCGGCTGCAGGATGGAGAGAGAGAGCTGCTGGACAGAGCCCTGATGGTCATCCAGTCTGGTGGGGTTGGGGCTGAAGAGGAACTGGCGAGGGGCCAGGGCCCGTCCAGGGTCAGGGAATCGTTCAGGGGCCGGGGCCCGTTCAGGGTCAGGGAATCGTTCAGGGGCCGGGGCCCGTCCAGGGTCAGGGAATCGTTCAGGGGCCGGGGCCCGTCCAGGGTCAGGGAATCGTTCAGGGGCCGGGGCCCGTCCAGGGTCAGGGAATCGTTCAGGGGCCGGGGCCCGTTTTAGGAGGTGCGGCCCATTTAGGGGGCGGTGTCCATTTTATGGGGCGGGGCCCGTCAAGACAGATCTCAGCTTCTGGATCGCCCCTAATTAGAACAATTCCCTCAGCCCAAGGAGGGACCCAGAAGGACTAAGGCCCCCATATAGAGTTTACACAAACATTAAGTTCTCAAATACAAAAGATGCAGGAACATTTTCCCAGAGTTGCCAGAGTAATTTTCCCAGCAGGAGGTCGGGTCCCGACGATGACAGGAGAGAAACGCAGAAACACTGATGGAGGGAATGAAGGTTTGAAACCGTTGACAGGAAGCTGATGAATTGCTCTGCTCCTCTGGTTTTATGTGACTTTAATGTGCCATATGTGTGTTTTTAAGGCTGAATGCTGAGATGGGAATACAGGTTTTAACTAGGACATTCAGGAGTCTGTTTGTGTTCTCTGCGATATTTTCTCTTAGCTGTTTTAATGACAACTGTTTCTCTTTTTGTCCAACCTGAATGAACTGTAATATTTTAGGTAAAATTAGTCTGAAGGAAGATCTCAGTTCAATAAAACATCTTCGTGAGATTATTATAATTATAATCAGACAATAATCAGATTATTATCTGATCATTATCTGATAATGAATTGCAGTTCATGGATGAATATATTTTCTGAATGTTTTACTGAATCAGTTTTGTTTTTGTCCAGCAACATTTGCTGGACAAATGTGACTCAGGGGAGGCCGGTGGGTTACAATGTGTTAGTAATGCAGACAAGAAACAACACACTGCTGCTGCTGTTAGCAGCGGTTAGCAGCTGTTAGCTTAGCTGTTTAGCTAAACTAACAGCAGCAGCAGCTCTAACCTACCACAGCGATCACCGATTAGTAAACCTTCAGTCTGAAACCACTGCAGCACTGGATGTTTTGTTGGACTGTTTTTTGGTGTTGAATCCTGAAGCATAAAGTGTCGTTGTTGTGGAGCTTGGCCTCCACTCAGAGTGAGAAGGAAGCGGTTTGGAGTTGAACTCCGGTGTTTCCCTCTGCAGTGCAGCACAGCACTGTGTTCATAAAACCTGCATTTCCAAGCTTCTCTGAGTTCATGTGGCTTTTGGACGGCATGCAACAGAAAAGTCTCTCTGGCCTCCAGCATTGTGCAGCGCATGTGTTGTGCGCATGTGTTGTGCGCATGTGTTGTGCGCATGAGCGATTTCCATACATAAACAATAAATGCAAAGCGTTTATATTTGTAAATCTGATTCAGTGCTTCACCACCTCACTGGTTTCCAGTGTCTGTTTTGTGCTGGACAGTAACTGAGAACATATTGTTCTCACCCGCCTGGTTTCTGATTTTTCTCTTCAGGGTTTCAGATCAATCTGGTTTAAATACCAAAGGAAACACAGAATCCAGTTTTTGTTCATTGTAAAGGAATAAAATCAACCCCAGTAAACATAATCACACCCCAACCTGACTCATCATCCAGCTTTAAATCTACACCCGGAGGCCCACATCCCCGTGCTGCCACCACCGTGCAGCCCTCCCTCCGCAGTGACTCCGCCCTGCACAGGTAACCAGCCGCTGATTGGTCCAGATGTGTTCGAGCAGAAGCGCAGGCCGACCACAGTCCACCAGGGGGCGACACCGGTTCGATGTGTTTGCTTTAGGGAGCAGAAGGAGAAGCGGGAGGCGTATGAACATTCGCTGGGGTCGGTCAGAGTTTGCTCAGGTGAGTTCTGTCCGCGGCAGGAGGATTCATGTCTGCGCAGGTGAGTTTGTAGTAGTTGTTTTAGTCTCTACCAAACTCCTCTGACTTTCTGTCCGATTCTAGCTGACTTTTAACTGATAACATAACTGAAGCCTTCGCCAATATCGGTCTGAACGGAAGTGATTAAAGGTTTATTAATGCGGATCCATCGCCGAACTGAAGCCAGACTCCATATTAGTGAGGTCAGATCCTCTGCTGGTGTGCTTGTTTCGGTAACAGGCAGAAATCTGTAAATTCTCAGATTTCCTAACGGAGTTCTGGAGCGGGGCTGACCCGCAGGACAAGCACGAGACCTCAGAGTCCGCCGCGTGAAGCGCTGACAGGTCATAGGTCACATGCTGCATGTAGAGGGCTCTGTGACCTGATCTAACCCAGGCAGTCGCAACCTTCCGGTCCGAATCCAATAAAATTTTAGGTAATTAATTTTATGGCTGAAGCTGAATTTATTTATTTATGAGGTGCAAAGCCAAGACAACCAGTGACGTGTTTCCCAAATGCAGATGAAACCCTGAGATCATCCGGATGCCAGAGAAAAACTTTTCCATCGTGCTGAACCCTGAAAACAAACGGAAGGTTTTCCTGGTTGCACCAACAGGAAATACTGTGAACAACATTCTGTCATGACGGGAGAAAGAAGTTCTCTGCAAACTTATTTCATTTCATCAATACAAGCAACAACATGGCCACAGAACGACCGGCTGAAGGACGTCTGATTGGGCCCGGCCGGCCCGGCCCGGCCCAAGGCCCCGGACCCCCCGGCCGTCGTCTCTAAAGGCCTCTGATGAATCGGGTCTCTCTACTTCGCAGACGGGATGATCCAACAGTTCTCTCTCCTCTGCACCGCGCTGCTCAGCCCGCTGACAGCTGATGGCACTAAGCCTCATCCACTCGGGTGGGTGGTGTGGATGGAGCAACCTCCACCTGTGTCAGAGGTCAGAGCAGAGGTCCAGACAGTAGCCTTAGTCCCACCCTGTTCAAATGGGCCAGTACCAACCAGAACCACTGGAAGAAAACTTGAGTAAAACTGGTTTTAAATAAAACCTCAAATTCAGTGACGTTCAGAAAGTCACCAGATTTACAAATATAAACCTGCTGCATGTTGTTGTTTACATGAGGAAACGTGGACAACGATGGACGGCGATAGACTGTTCTATGACATGACTTTACAGTATGGCTAGCTCCAAGGCAAGTTCCAAGGCTAGCTCCAGGGCTAGCTCCAAGGCTAGCTCTAGGGCTAGCTCCAAGGCAAGTTCCAAGGCTAGCTCTAGGGCTAGCTCCAAGGCAAGTTCCAAGGCTAGCTCCAGGGCTAGCTCCAAGGCTAGCTGCAAGGCTAGCTCTAGGGCTAGCTCCAAGGCAAGTTCCAAGGCTAGCTCTAGGGCTAGCTCCAAGGCTAGCTCCAAGGCTAGCTCTAGGGCTAGCTCCAAGGCTAGCTCTAGGGCTCGCTCCAAGGCTAGCTCCAAGGCTAGCTCCAAAGCTAGCTCCAAAGCTAGCTCTAGGGCTAGCTCCAAGGCTAGCTCTAAGGCTAGCTCTAGGGCTAGCTCCAAGGCTAGCTCCAAAGCTAGCTCCATGGCTAGCTCCAAAGCTAGCTCTAGGGCTAGCTCCAAGGCTAGCTCCAGGGCTAGCTCTAGGGCTAGCTCCAAGGCTAGCTCCAGGTCATCATGGGTTACTGTCAGTGGTTGTATGTGAAGAACTCACATCCATGTTCTTTATAAATATTGATACAATAAATACAAAGATGTAAGAAAGTAAATATAAATCCCTTTCTAAATATTATGTATAATATTGTCATAAATATTGTATGACATCATAAAGAGCTGAGCGGGCCATGTTACCATGGAAACAGTGCCGAGTGCAAAGCCCAGAGGAAGCTCCGTGGTTAGCTCCTTGGCTATCTCCATGGCTAGCCCCAGGGCTAGCTCCGTGGTTAGCTCCCTGGCTAGCTCCCTGTCTAGCTCCAAGGCTAGCCCCAGGGCTAGCTCCAAGGATAGCTCCAGGGCTAGCTCCAAGGCTAGCCCCAGGGCTAGCTGCGTGGTTAGCTCCCTGGCTAGCTCCAAGGCTAGCCCCAGGGCTAGCTCCAAGGCTAGCTCCATGGCTAGCCCCAGGGCTAGCTCCGTGGTTAGCTCCCTGGCTAGCTCCAGGGCTAGCTCCATGGCTAGCTCCAAGGCTAGCTCCCTGGCTATCTTCCTGTTACTGTCTCTTCCTCTGCAGTGTGCAGTCTCAGTGTCTGGGATCATGAGCGCCCCCTGCCATGAGGCCAGAGAACTGCCTGCCTCACCTCCAGTCTGTTCCCTGGTTTCTGCTCAGCTCAAAACACGTTACACACACAGTTGGAGAGGAAAAGCGCTGAAGGTTATATAGATGAGCTAAATGTTGTCAAATCAGTTGCTATATGAAATATTTTGTCAGCGTTTTAGTGGCGGCGGTCAGACAGGAGGAGCTGCTGAGTAGCAGCAGTGCAGTGGGCCAGAGGTTGATGAATCCAGGTGAGGCTCGACTCAATGCTGCCTCACCTGCTGCTCTTCTGAACAACTTCAGAGATTTTGAAGAAATAATCATCAAAATTGGTTAAGCTCAATAAAAATAAATACTTTGTAGTCCAAACCACAGGGTGACAACAGCAATATAAATTATTTTTCCATGATGACGGGAGGCTCTGCTTCACGTCACTGATTGATATTCTGTCCCAAGTTTTTGTCAACACCCGTCAGACATAAAAAAGTAAGAAAATCAGGCATTATTGTGGTCACCAGAATCTCTGAGGACCCCTGGTTTATTCCTGGTTGTTTGTCACAACCATGATGTGTTGACACCGTCACTGACAATTTCCAACATTTTGATTAAATTCTGTGAAATAAATGTTTATTTAGATTTATTGTAAAGATGTCATGGATCTGAAGAGCGACAATATGGCCGCCTTCACATAAATCTAATCATAAAATCAGGTTGTTGTTTCGTCAGCTCCATCAGAGTGAGACTCTCACTGAAGTTAATAATCAATTTTAATGCATTTTCCTTAAATGGTTTATTTCTCATGAATCAAGGATTTCTTTTCAATCTGTCAAATGGACTTTATGTTGTTTGAAATCATTTTTATTTTGCTTTTGAGACGCATTTGTCTGTAAAGCTGATTAAAAATGTCAGTGAATAATTTGTCCTTCATTAATCACTGAGCTGCTTTTGACACATTCATAAACAATCTGATCAATAATCCGATGCATTGATCAGTCTTGCTGCTGAAATGTCTTATAGATGCCAAAGGTCATCACTATGGCAATGGCTGCTCAGAGCCCGCTGGTTGGTGGGAAGTTGAGTGGAAGGAAAAACTGTGTCTTCCTCAGGTGACCGTGCTGTACTTCGCCAGGAGCGCCGAGCTGACCGGACTAAGGGAGGAGCAGCTCGTTGCCGTGCCAACACCAATCAGCAGCGGGGACCTGTGGGCTCTGTTGCTACGGAAACAGCCCAGGTAGGAAGGCCCAGAATCTCAGGAGGCGTCGCTCCGACGGCGACGCGACGCTCCGACGGCGACTCGACGCTCCGACGGCGACTCGACGCTCCGACGGCGACTGGACGCTCCGACGGCGACTGGACGCTCCGACGGCGACGCGTCGCTCCGACGGCGACTCGACGCTCCGACGGCGACTCGACGCTCCGACGGCGACACGTCGCTCCGACGGCGACTCGACGCTCCGACGGCGACTGGACGCTCCGACGGCGACTGGACGCTCCGACGGCGACTCGACGCTCCGACGGCGACTCGTCGCTCTGACTCGTCATGTTTCTGCAGGCTGGTGGCGCTGCAGGGCCGCGTGGTGCTGGCCGTGCGCCGGCAGTACGTCGCCATCGGCAACCAGCAGCTGCACCTGCAGGACGGCGACGAGGTGGCCGTGGTGCCGCCGCTGAGCGGAGGGTAGAACCGAACCAGAACCAGAACCAGAACCGGACCGATCTTTGCACATGGAGGAGCCGCCCAGGGACATCTTCAGGCTGAGCCATGATTGGCTGTCGGTACAGGAAGTGGTGGACTCCGTCAGCAGCAGCCGCTGTGGCGCCGTCTCTGTGTTTATAGGTACGACCTTCATCATCCTCCTCTTCCTCAGGGCAGGCCTTCAGTTCTGATCAACCAATTGGATCAATACCAAGCGATCAGAGACCAGGTCTCAACCCGCTGCCCTGTCGGCACTGCTGACCCGTTTCCTGTGCAGGCGCGACCCGGGAGGACCAGGCGGAGGGCAGGAAGGTGATTGGTCTGCAGTACGAGGCGTACGAGGCCATGGTCCAATCGGAGCTGAGCCGGCTGGCGGGGGCCCTGAGGGCCCGCTGGCCCTCGCTGCTGCACGTCTGCATCCACCACCGCCTGGGTGAGGCTCCGCCCGCCACGCTGTGATGTCATCGACGCCGAGCCTCACCCTTCTCTTCCTCCCTCAGGTGGGTGAAGGTGGGCGAGGCCAGCGTCGTCATGGCGATCTCCTCTCCGCACCGCCAGGACGGCCAGGAGGCCATCCAGCACGCCGTCACCCAGCTCAAGGCCAGCGCCCCCATCTGGAAGAAGGTGGGAACCGGGCCAGAACCGCGCCAGAACCGGGCCCTACACTGACCACTTATCCTTACTTCTGACTGGTTCTGACCGGTTCTGATCCACAGGAGGTCTACGACACCCACCAGTCGTCCTGGAAGGAGAACTCAGAGTGCAGCTGGTCGCAGGGGGAGGAGCTTCTGACTGACCCCTGACTGACTTCTGACCCCAGAGGAACAACTGGTTAATTCGAACTGCATAGTTAAAGTAAAAGCAGCTCCTGCAGCTCATTCCTGATCTGGGTTTCTGGTTAGAGTGGCACTCTGTCCTCATAGAGGAGCTTTGATACACTCAGAGTGGTTTTGTCCTCATTAAGTATTCGCACTGGGCTCCATATATGGTCGTGGCTTCCTGATGTGTTCAATAAAAACGCAAATTCTCATTT